GGGGGGGATTTTTATATGAATGCTCATGGTTTGGAAATGAGATATCTCACAAGCTTACATAATAGATGTGATGTGCAAGTGTCAACAAACTTCTGGCCATGTATTGAAAAAATTATACAAGGAAGCCTTGTCTCTGAAACTGTGATGAAATAAATTGATGTTAAAATTTAAACTGACCACTATGCAGCACAAAGAAATATATTATTATGAATTCAAATTATAGTAGTTAATCATGTAAATTTATGTTTGGCACATAGTGTTCATTATATTGTGAAATGCAGATCAAAGATCAATTTCACAATGTCCCAAATTGTTGGTAAAGTAATCTGACATCCTCTGCCCTCCTTAAATTACTAGCCACTTCAAAGCTTCTGTAGCCCGCTCTGGCCTTAGTCCCCATACCACATCCTTGCTATGCAGTACGTCAACTTTCCCCTTTTCTGTCAAAGCCCTAATGAAATGCACTAAAAGATGTTTTTTTTACTTGGCATCTTTGTATGCCCTTGTGCATGAATTCAGAAGCACTGGGAAAAGAAGCAACTCCCGTTTGTCTTTTGGTGCATAAGAGGAAGCATGTAAAAGGACATTGAAAAAGGCATATTTTATAGGCAGGCATACAGTTCTGTAAGATCTACAATCAACTGTACGACATTTGCTTTATTGGTCACAGTACTCTACTACAGAATAAAGTATTAGCCTGTCTCTATGATGAACGCACCCCTTCATTTCTTGTATGGGTGTTTCTGGGACAGGAAGTAAATGGAAAATCTCTGCAACAGGGTCATAAACAGATAAAAAAATAACTGAAAATTTGACTGTTCCCCATTTTATCCAAAACAGAGGGGGAAAAAATGTTGGCTGGGGTCAGGATTTAACTTTAAACTGCAGAAACAACTTTACACCTGTCATGTGTACTTCTAGGGCTACAACAGGAACAAGTCGAGAAATTCTGCTCTAGGACCACATAGATATACAGTATATCTGAGTAGCAGTACTACATACCTCTGGAGAGTCATAATTTGTTCCAGTAAAGCCACTTTTTCTTCATTGCACTGGCTGATTTTATTTTCTAGTTCTTGAACTACTGCAGATGACTAAAAAGAAGAATTGTAAAAGGTTATTTATTTTGCAACAGAGAGCCAGGTACAAACATTCATTCCCTGATGATCCTTAATTAATATGAATCTTAATGCAAAGATATGGCTATTCCAGCAAACACTGCTAAGTATGTGAAGGATTTCATTCATCTATGGTATAGCTCGTAGTAGTTAGTCACATTCAACTGGACATATTCTCAAATGTTGAAGACTTTTCACTGCTTATCCTAGCAGCATCTACAGTTCTGAGAATGGAACTGAGTGCCCGAAATATGCAACTCCAGTGTAACAGTCAGCAGCCATAGACGTAGAGAAAGTAGTGAACACAAACATCACATCATAAGAAGAGAGCACACTAGCAGACACATGTGCCATAATCTTTAAAAATAGCAATCCATTCTACTCCAGATAGGAAAAAGGTTAGTGTATCATTTGAACGTGAATATTGTATGTTTCTAATCAAACACTTGTCAATTTGTAAGTACTTATGCTAACCACATGATGCTGGTTAGAGATAACAGGGCCATATGGTGGACAAACAAAACTTCTAGATTGCATGGAGTACTTAGTCCCAAGGAGGTGCATCTTTCTTAAAAATGTGCCTGCTTAATGTAACTTATTCTTCGATCGATAGTAATGCAGGTATACTGTATGCTGTGTCATGAACCATTAATTGGGACAAGCACTGTATCAACTCTCTACATAGCATTTAGAAGGAGCTTGACTGAACCTGAAACAAAAATTTGAAAAAAGGCTGTGTAGTGCTGAGCAGCCATATTCCCGCTTGCCTTTCCCAGCCAAGGGAAAGGCAAGCGGGAAATAGGAAGACACACAGGCTACTGTTATGAGTGATGATAGTGGAGCAGAGGATGCCCCTGTGATGACTGCAGTATTGAGCTGGGCAAAAAAAATTGAACCAGCTTCTAACAATATCAGTACTGTAGCACTGCAGCACTGATGTGGGTGGTAGCATTGTGCTGGGCAAATAAACTGCCTGTGAATAACAATATCCGCACAGTGCGGGTGGGAGCGTGGGTGGCTGTATGGTTCTAATGGTACCAGTGGATGTTATTGTTAGAACCAGGCAGAGAGGTGGGGTGGAGAAAAGCCAAGCAGGGTGGTACTGGATTAAGAGTAGCAGGAGAAGACCCGTCAGCACCTGAAGCTTGGATCAATGTAAAGCAGGCAGCACTAACACGTCAGTGGCAAAATTGTCGTTAGCGGCTTCAACTTTGAACCTTTGAGGGAATTTGAGCAAAGTAGTCACCCTCATGACAAAAAGTAGGTTCCTTTTGACAGAGGAATGCAACCTAGACTTTATGGGATTCAAAGACTAGCTATAGAACTGAAAAGGCAAAACCCTAAAAAGGAACACATACATATACAATTATTTTAAAAAAATAGTGTGCTCGCAGCTTAGTTTAAAAATAATAATAATAAAAAAAAAAAAAAGCTCACCTGGTCAGGCTGGGACTCCACTATGGATTTCTGGGCACTAGGAAGGGGCTCAAGGTCATCTTCTTTTACAGCAACTGCAACATCTGCAGTGTCTTTTAATATAGCCTGGTGGCTCCCAAAATTACGATAAAGTTGCAAAAGGTCTGGAGGTTTTGGGATATTTAATCCTACATCATCCCACAGTTCATAGTCCTGAAGAGAAAGTTCATCGGGTTAGGAGCATCGTTACCATAAGACAACCAGCATTCTGCGCCGAAGCCAGGTATAAAAGTAACAGGACCAAAAGCACATTCCCATTTAAAACTTTTTGGTTCACCCTTGGGCACTACCAGGCAAACCCAGCATGTAAGTAACCAAATTCACAACACTGTCGAAGGGTACATATGGCAAATGTCAGCTGGACTGCTTCGCAGCTGAAAAAAAACCTTGGATCTTGAGCATACTGTATTCAGAGGATCTCAACTCTGTTCATTCACTGACTTTACCAATCAATAGACCACTGAGAGAACCTCAACTGGCCACTACTACTGTCCTGTATTGCTACAGACTCTAAACTACTGAAGGGCAGGGATGGGGCTCATCTGCAGGGCGTGTGTGGCTTAATTACGAGTCAGGCAGAAGCAACTCACTCTGTATATAGTTTGTGCTCTGAATCGTGCTTTCACTAGTGAGAAGGGAAAGTGTAGGTGCTGCTCCCAAAAACCAGTAAGATTATATGTGTTCGCTTTCTAGTATATTTTTAAGAATCAACACATACCATTAAACCTGAAAAATAATTACATTTTGTAAAAGTGTTGCTACTGCCAAATCCCAACCCTGTATTTAATTTCTGTACAGAACGTAAACTATTTATCAATGTTGTAATGGTGCTGTTCCACTGATGGCTTTATGCCAGGCAAACAGGACTACAAAATTAAGTTGGCCATTTTCTTTTATGCGTTTATTAAACAGGATGATCAAATGTCACTATGACATTACATTCCTTTCGTGGACATCTGAAACGTTGACATATTCCCCCATAAACATGATTCAAAGCAATTTTACACAAACCATCTTGCATAGTTTAAACTTGACAGATCGTTGACTACTATGGACAATAACACAGTTTTTCATACGAGCCAGTCAGTATCTACCGTATATACTCGAGTATAAGCCGTCCCGAATATAAGCCGAGGTACCTAATTTTACCACAAAAAACTACATAAGAGCTTTGAAAATCTGCAGTGCAAAGGTTTTATATTAATTCATGGCAGGACATTGCATCTGGAGTCAAAGAACATTTGGCAGCTAATAGAAAAACTATGGAAGGAAATTCCAAGAACAATACAAGCCATTGGAAGGATATCCTCTTGCTTTGCTAGTATATTCATTCATATTACATTGTTCTAAAATGGCCCTTTCCTGAGAAAAAGTCCCAGGACATTACTTTTTTTTATACTCCGTCTTTCTACTTAAGGATTATGCGCCTTCTGAGGTGAAGTGTCTACACAACTCCAAAGACGAGGAAATTTCCAGTGACAATAAAACACATTCACAGAAGAGTATAAAAGGTTTATATTTAAATATAATAAGCAGATTACCTGGTCATCATTTTCATCAGAAAAAGTTATAGAAGTAAGCTTGTGGTTATTTTTCAATAAATACTCATTCACAAGGAAATTTAGTGCTCTTTTCTCAAGAGGTTTAATAGATTCCTAGAATAAAACAAAACCAAAGCAGTTAGATTAAGATGTAGACAACTTATACGTGTTCTTACTGACAGATGAGATCTTAAGCAAAACGTTATCTAGGTAAATTAAGAACAAAACATTTTGCATATACTCACTTGTGTAACTGATACAATTTTCCTGTATAAGCATCCCAACCTATAAAAGTCTACAGAATCTCTCTAAAGACGTCTTCAAGAACAACAAAGGAATATAACCATGGCAAAGAAAAGTGGTAATTGTCCTCAAAACTGATAAAGTGCTACAGTGTTAAATTATCTGATGGTTTCCTATGACTGTTTAGGATTTAAGTGGTTATATCTAGGTGTTTAGGTTTTGTTCATCAACTGGGACAGTTAAACGAAAGGTTAAAAAAAACAAAACAAAAAAAAACTGATTGGCAGATGTCTGACATAAGATACTGCGTTTGTCTCTTCTACCACAAAAGCTTCTTGCTGCCATTCTACAAGGGCAGTTCAGTGCACAGGCTCGGCATGCCGAGATGGAGTAACTCCAGAACGCATGTGCCGGTGTTAAAGGAAAACTATGGGGTTAGGGCTTTTCCCCATAGTTCTCCTTAGGGTAACGGGAGGACACAAACTAGCGTCCTCCCGTTACCCTAAGCTCAGTATAGCGCAATATACTGAGACGCCGCAGTATACAGCGAGCTGTATATTGAGACGCCGCAGCTGAAGTGGATCCCAACAATTATGTCTGGATCCGCCCCGCTGTGTGAGTGACAGCAGGTTCTGCCTATCTAGAGGCAGAGCCAGCTTTACCCACCCCCTCCCCCGTCCGTTCCGCCAGTCAGCGCTGGAGGATCGGAGCAGGGAGGGGGGAATCCAGTCCCTTCCCTGTCACGGCAGAGAGCCGTGACAGGAACGAGAAGTGAGCCACCGCCGGTATGTGTTCGCTCACTTGCCGATCTACTGAGCCGACCTGTGACAGTTTCATTGTCACAGATCGGCTAGAACTATGAGGATGAGTGAAAAGCACTCACCTCATAGTTCTCCTTTAAGTCATCAGGGCTGGTCAATCAAGTGGTCGAGGAATTGAAACCCAGAAGACCAGGATGAAGATAAAAGCACCGGTAAGAAAGAAGTGCAGCACTGGAGGGAAACCATTTGGCAGAAAAGTCTGCCATAATGTGCTAATATGCTCTGTATACTAGCACATGATGGCTAAAAGCTCCTCGCTCCGTGTTAATGGAAAATAATTGGTATGAGATTAATCATTCCTAATTGCCAGCAAGTGTTTACAATTATTTTACCTAGGGACTAATTAATACAAATACATCTATACTACATGATAATAATGGACTTAATTTACAGGATTAAAAAAGGAAATAAAGCAAAGTGGCTTCCCTGTTTACTCAGGCTCAATTTATATATATATAAATATATATATTTCACGCACACATTATATATACTGTGTGCAATACATGTGTTACATAATATATACACACAAATATATATATACATATATACACACACACATACCTACATACATACACAAAACATATACACATCCTTCAAGTTTTTAATTTTCAAGTGTTAATCCTTGCTTGCCTTTCAACCAAGCAAAGCATCATGTTTCTGACAATAAAACGTGCTATAATAAGTTTTTATTGACAGTTTACTAGCGCATTAATGACCCATGCTCCCATCACCCATCATATTCAGGTATATAGATGTTCCTTGCATTCCATCTGACAGAAATCTACTTTTTTTGCACTATAGAATGCAATCTCTGGGTAGTGTAACTGTGCCAAACTACTTTGGTTTTCTTTCATCAGATTAAGCAGTTTCTTAAACTAGAAGGAACTCAGCGGGGATAAATCAATAAAAGGAGCAGAGACTGTGAAATTAGCAAAGTAAATCTTTCCTAAGGGTGCCCATACACTGTTCAAACTTCAGCCGTTTTTGAGGAACTGGACAAAATTCGCAGTGTGTGCCGCTGTCGGCACCCTTTCGTTCGGCATTCCTCAAATCAGCTGATCGAAGGAGGCGGCTGAAAAATGTTTGATCGATCAGAGGTGACAGCCAATGGACTGCCCCCTCTGGTCGGGCATTCTGACAGGGGCCGGCAGCTCCTGTCAGAATACAACAGCGGGATTCCTCAGTCGCCGGGCTGTTAGTGTTGATAGAGGAATCTGGTCTATTTTTTTTCATTCAGCCCACGGGTTGAATGGGAAAAAAAAATAGATCAGTGAATGGCCAGCATTAGCTTAGTAAATAAGGCAAAGCTGTGTTGACGTTAAATACCCAATAATCTGTAAGGGGAATTTAAAAAAAAACTTGACGGCACGCTAAGTAAGCATTCTTTATTTCATTAGTACATCAAGTGAGTTGGGTTCCTTTATGACTAGTGTGTTATCATCCTAATGATTACCATGCACTTGCAATCTGACTATGCAATCTCTGTACAATCAACTTTAGATCTACCAAAATGATGTAATATGACGACCTACCTAATCTGTCCAATCAATCTGTAACCAATCAGGCACTAAATACTTGAAGGTGGATCTATAGAAGATTGTATAGTCAGATAGTACCATGTGTGGTGAGCTTAAAGTAGTATTAAGGTCTGGGCATTTTTTACCTTAATGCATTCTCTGCATTAGGGTAAAAACGGCCCAGCACATTTTTTCTACCCCAGTCCCCTACACACTTACCTGTCAGCTGCGCTCGTCCCCGCCGCCGGTCCTCAGAGATCTTCCATTCCCCGAACTTCTGGGTTGCAAGGGGAGGATACTGATGGCAGAGGAGCCATAGGCTCCTTCTGCCATCAATCAAAGAGGGAAGGGGCATGGCCTGCCACAGGGCTGTGTGTGTCTATGGACGCACACAGCCACTGCGGAAACGAGCGCGCACAGGTGCCTCTTTTAGAACGATGGTGGCACCCGTGCAGCGGGCGGGGGGACGTGCGCTGCAGGTAGCCTCTAGAAAAAGAGGAATTAGGCACTTTTAAGGTATAAAAGCAACAGCCTCCAGCAAAGGAGGGTCTCCTTAGAGGAGAAATAAAAAGAGTTAGGCTTTAATATCACTTTAACTGTTGCCATATGAAGTGGGAGGAAGGATAAGTTAAAAGAACAGCATTAAAGAACACAGATCTGCAGTTATTTGCACGCTATATAGATGGCTAATCACTCCCTTGAAAACTCCTAGTGGGGAATTTATCAAAACTGGAGCAGAGAATATCTGGCAACCAATCAACCAATCAGCTTCTCTCTCTCATTTTCAAATTTTACCTGAGAAAACTAACGATAGAAGCCGATTGGTTGCCAGGGTCAACAGTTCCAGATTTTGTCTGCTCCAGTTTTGATAAATTTTCCTCCTACAGTTTAAAGTTTGTTTCAAAACAATAACTAAAATATGAAAAACTGCCACTAGGTGGCATTCAAAAGATGCAGAAGTGTAAGCCTAAGGAGAAAAGTGACAAGACACGCAGAGTTTGGCCCTGCTGCTTACATCTTATAAATCAGAAACATAACAAAGCTATAATATGTTAACATGTTCAAAATCTGATTATTAATAAACTATTGAGGTTTATTAAAGATTCATAAAACAATGCATCTCTTTGGGCGGCTTCATATTTTTTTCCCAAGTAGATGGAAAACCACTTTAGTTGTTTAGTAGCAACTATAGGTAGTAAGCAGAGGTGGGGTCCTTCTGGCCCTTGCTCCTCTGGCAATGCTTTCCTGCCCAAGCATTACACATCTGTCAGTTTTCTTTTTTTCAAAAATAGCAATCAGCATTATTTAATAGAAAAAGATTATCCTCATTCTTATTAAATACATTTTACATAGCACTAATATTAGGTACCTAACCCAGTACTAATAGCAGTCTTTGGAAATACTCTGTTAAGCAGGACTTAGATTGGGGGGGGGGGG